CAAAAAAAATGTTAAAGAACAGGTAAGATAGATCCAGAAGTTATGGTTATGTTATCTATTTAACGGGAGTTTAAAGAGAAGTGAATAAGTAAAATAGTAATAATAGACATCTAGGCAGAAAAAGAACTTATTAACAGAAGAAAACAGAGCAAATGAAATAGAGTGTGATCCAGGAAATGACACACAACCAAGCAAAACACAAAAGAACTTTCTGGAAAAACTGACCAGAATAAAGCATATTTCCACATCCTAATATTTTCATCTACTTTACCTCCCTTGACAGCAGCTTAGGATCTAGGTGACAGATGAATAAAACCATAATGCACCACCAACACAATGCATGAACACAGAGTCCCTCCTACCAAGTTTTTTTAAAATCTGTTATAAAGAATGCTTCAGCAATCACTCTGTAAAATAAATTCTTAGAATGGGAAATCTGGACTAGAGAAAGGCTGAAATGACCCAGCTATTGTGCAGATGCACCTGTTTCTCCACACTCCACACAGTGAAGACTGGTCTTTCAAATCTTAGGCCACCTGCTAGGAAAAGAATCACACCTCGCTTCAATCTGGCATCACTCTAATTAATGAGAGCTGATCATATCTTCATGATTATTGATCATTTGTTTTTCTCTTTTTCTTCATTCCTAAACAAAAATGCTTAGGTGTTTATTTTTACCCATCTTTTAAAAATGAGAATATTAAAACCCTGTTGTAAATGAAATATTTTTTGCCCCAATATGTTGTCTTTTAACTGTTCATGGGGTATTTTTTGGTAGCAGATATTACATGGTGCTATGGTTTAGATATGAGGTGTCCCCCTCAAGGGGACACCTAAATTATTCCTGTTAATGCAGATATAATTTAGAGGTAAGATGATCACATTATCAGAACTGAAGCCTAATCATCCATCCTACTTTGAATGGACTGACTGTTGGCAACTGCAGACAGGGAGGGAATGGCTGGAGGGAGGTTGCTCTTCCTGCCACCCAATCCCTGTAGCACCCCCTTTCTGCTTCCTGAACCTGCCATGATCTGAGCAGCTCCTCTGCTGGCCCCTTCCCCCATGATGTGCTGGCTCACATTGGGCCCAGAGCAATGGAGTCATCCATCTATGGATTAAGACCTCTGAAACTGTGAGGCCTAAATAAACTTTCCCTCCTCTAAGTTGTTCTTGTCAGGTATTCTGATCACAGCAAAGCAAAGGCTGACTAAAACCCATGGAGATTATTATATCTATAAATGAATAAGAGAAACATCCCAGAGAGAAGAACCCGGCAGAGAAGGAGGACCTGTTATTTGGAGAGTTGCCTCTCAGGCCCCACATGAAACTATTATTGTAGTTCAGAGACAGATGCTGGAGTCATTCTAACCTGGGTTCAATGATTCCGAGATTCACCACTCATTTCTTCATCTCTAAAACAGGAGCATACCGTCTCACATAGTTGCTTGTGGACAAATGCAATGAGAAATGAGGTGTACTCACCCAATAATTTTTTTCTTTTTCCTTTAACCAAGGGAGGGAGATAGGTTTACTTGCTGATGCCTGAGGGGGGTATTCCTGAAAGAGAAAACTCAACCCACCTGGAACTTGCTCTGGTCCTTGCTGTCTTGGGAAAGGGCTGGGGCTTGAGAAGGAAGAGCTGCAGGAAGAGAGGGAAGCCACAAGCAGGCTGGTGTCTGCCTCAACCTCTCAGACTCCACAGGCACCTGGGGAGGTGCCACTTCACAGGCTGGCTTCTTCCCAACCCAGGCGACTCCCCATTCACCCAATTTTCCCTCCACACCCAGCTGGAATTCTCCCTTCCCCACCCCTTAATTTTTTCTCACCCTTTTCCTCTTGGCAGGAGGTCAAAATCTCCATGGTCTCTTTTCCTAGGTTTTCTCGGAGCAGCAATAATTTTATTTATTCTCTCATCTTCCTAAACTGGGGAAACAGAAGACCCAGGCCTTCTTCATTCCTGGGTTTCTCCAAACTCTGACCAAGCTGGTCCAGCAGACATTTGAAGGCAGAGTACCTGACTAGTCCCCAGGCTCTGGGGACCTGTGGGCTCAAGAGGGAATTTTATACCTTGTCTGAGTCCTTTCCTCTGGGCCCCAAAGCTTAGGCTCCCCAGTAGGGCACCTCAGTAGGCTCCAGGACATCTGCTGGGGCGGGGAGCAGTGGCTCATAGTCCAAGGGGCCCAGAATGCTGCAGATGGCTGAGGATAGTTCCAAATATGTCACTGGGAAGGTCTAGCAACTGTGAGGCCTAGGGCCCCATCATAAGGCTGGGAGATCCTGCGAACATATGGAACCTATGTCCTTTGAAGAAAAACTGGGAATGTAAAAGCTTTATTAATGCAATATTGTGGGGCTTATAAAAAATAAAATACACCCTGATCCTCAAAAGGATCCTAAAATTCAGGATACAGATTAGTCACTGCCTTCTAAATTAGAGTTTTAAACCTTTTTGGTACCACGATCCCTTTGGCAGTCTGGTGATACTCATGTACTTTTCAGAAAAAAAATGTTTTAAATGCATAAAATGAAATACATAGAATTCTTTTAAAAGCTAATATTGAAATACAACCTTCAAAAGTAATGAGTCTGAACAATAGTTTAAAATATTTGAAACTAGAGAATGATATGAATATTATCTTTATGATTTAGATGGTTAACAAAATCACAGGTATTGTTAATACTATGTAGTTTATTGCCTGCAATCATAATTAAAGAAAAAATAATCTTCAGTTAGACCATGTACCTTCTTTTCCTGCTCAATTTCATGAACACATTGAGTTATATACCCATGGACTTCAGTTCAACAACTCCTTTTCCAAGTGAAATATCTCCTGACACCACCAGAATCAACTGTCACTCTGGGATCTAGTAACATCTTGTTTAAATTGATGGTTATCACCTTCCACGTAGCCACTCCTTTTAAGTATTTTATTATCCAGGGGATTGGATTGTCTTGCTTTATTTGCCTTCTCTCCCTTGCATGGGTCTATCATGTTGAATTCACTTAAGCAATTCCATCCACAGGATATGACATGGAGGTCAACAGAACTTTTAGAACCAGCTTGGGGCTGGCCAGTTTGCAATGCAGACACTGAGCATGAGGGCCCTCCCTTACCTCTTTGCCTGACCTGTTTTCTCTCAAAATTCAAACCTCAAGGACAAGTTCAGATGAACAGATCCACATATTTGGGCTGCCCACTCTAAGAGACTCCCTGAATTTGAACACTTCAGGAGCTCAAACCTCACCTTTACTCTAACCATCTGTATCAGGCCTTCACTCAGCCTACTTTAAGGAGCACCTTTCTGATTGATCATGCTCTGACATATTTCCAGGAATTGTTCAGAAGCAAGTATGGAATACTGAGCAACGGCTACCTTCCTTCCTCCACAGAGGACAAAGGGAAGAGCATAGTCCAGATCTACAACAGGACCTCCATGCCAATGTCACTGAAACTCACATACTCAGGAACCTGTAGGACTGCGCTTTATAAACTTCACATGCTTAAAAATCACCATGATTACAAATAACAGATTGCAGGAATTCAACTACAAAGATTCTGATTTGGTGGCCCTGCACGGAGCCCCAAAATCTGAATTTCTAACAAGTTTCCAGGGTGATGTTGACACAGCTGGCCCAGAGACCATATTTTCAAGTAGCACTTGCTAAGTTGACCCAGCTTCCTATGACTTATTAATTTTCATGGTTCCCTGAAGCTCCCAAAAATCTCCTTGTGATTTTTCTTCATATCTGTGATCTCTACTAGTCAGGACTGCCTCAAGATTGAGTTGAAATTTTCTCCATCTGTGTGCATTCACTCTCGAGGTAATCACATCTCGCCTCATGGCTTCAAATATCATCTGCAGGTTGGTATCTCAATGCCCACCTGTGTATCTAAAAGGCACCTCAAACTCAACATGTCTAAAACCAATCTCCGGAGTTGCTTCTAGAGGTACTTCTCCCTTTCAAATGAGCAGGCCAATAATCTGGAGTGATCCTTGATGTCTCTGTCTCACACTTCACATTCAATTAATCACCAAATACCTTCAAATCAGAACCAGAATCTGACATTCTTTTATGACCATCTACAAAATCACCACCCTCCCTTGCCTGAATGACCCCGATGGCCTGCTACTTGGTCTATCTGCTTCTGCTGCCGGCCCCTCACAGTCCACTGCCTACACAGTAGTCAGTCATTTTTGAAGTCATGTTACTTCTCCAGCCAAAGCCTTTACTTCTCTCAAAAATCTTTCACCAAAGACCTTACAATGGCCAAAAATCTCTACACTGTCTGGCCTCCCAAAAATCGAGTTCCTGTTTATTCTTCTTCTTTCTCACTCCACTAAGGCCCTTGTGGCCTCCTGACTGTTCTTTTTAATATATATATAAATTTTCTTTAGTTGGGTTGAACACAATATCTTTATTTTATTTATTTAATTTTATGTGGTGTTGAGGATCAAACCCAGTGCCTCACACATACTAGATGAGTGCTCTACTGCTGAGTAACAATTACAGCCCTTGACTGTTCTTTTTTGGGGGGGCAGGAGGGTGCCAGGGATTGAACTCAGGGGCACTCAGTCACTGAGCCACATTCCCAGCCCTATTTTGTATTTTATTTAGAGACAAGGTCTCACTGAACTGCTAAGCACCTTGCCACTGTTGAAGCTGGCTTTGAACTTGCAATCCTCCTGTCTCAGCCTCCTAAGCTGCTAGAATTACTGGCATGTGCCACCATGCCCAGTCTGACTGTTCTTTTAATAGACCAGTTGTGCACCCACTTCTGTGCCTTCACTACTGTTCCCTCACCTACAACTCTTTTCCCAGGTGTTCATAGGCCTTCACCTCTTGTGGATCCCTGTCCAAGGACCACCTGCTTAAGTGAAATTCATTCCTGATTTTCTCACTTAACATTGCAGGTCCCTATGCCAGCACTCCCAAAACCCAGTCTCTGTTTCCTTTTTCTCCACGAAACTCATCTAATGTGCCAACTATTTTTTGGCTCACTCTCTTCCTGTACTCACTAGAATGTGAGTTCTATGAAAGCTGAGATTTAGTCTGCTCCTGGAAAATATCAGGTATTCAATATATCTAAATGGGAGAATGGAAATAACCTGAACTCAGTCTGCTGATACCTGGATCCTTTTGATAGCACTTTTAGAATAAAATAGATTTTATTCCCCAGTTTGTTTATTTAGTAAAGCACATGCTAAGTACTATGCTGAATGTGTTTGCAATACAATGGGGAATAGGAAAAGGACTCTGTGCTTATGTAGCAAACATTCTAGTTGGGAAGACACACATGTGTGCTGAAACTCAATGTATCAGATGCTTTGGATATCAAGAAAGATATAGTCTTTGATCGTGTGAAACTCAAAACGTGGCCAAAAAGAGGAAATAAACTGGGGTGAGCTGGGTGCACACCTGTAATCTCAGCAACTCAGGAGGCTGAGGCAGAAGGATCCCAAGTTCGAGGCAAGCCTCAGCAACTTAGCAAGACCCTAAAAAAACTCAGCATTTAGTGAGAACTTGTCTTAAAAATATATATATATAAAAACAAAAAGGCCTGGGGATGTGGCTCAGTTGCTAAGTGTCCCTGGGTTCAATATCTGGTACCAAAGAAAAGAAAAATAAATAACTGGGAACAGAGGCAGTGGGGTAGAGAGGTAATTGGAGCAAGAGTCATTGCAAAGGTAGAAATAACAAGACTAGATGAATAACTACATGAGATGAATAGGAGAAATCAAATATGAGTCTGGAGTTGAAGTTCGAGAGAAACAGGTAAATTATGAAGTTTCTAATCAATATAGTGAAAGAAGAAATAGGATTTTGAAAGCTAAAGTTCTTGTCTCTCAATACTGGAGCTGTTAAAAGCCTGGATTCAAATTCTGGCTCAGACACTTTATAGTTAGTTTATTTCAACACTGGAAGAGTGACATAAACCTCTAATAGTTTGTTCTTCTGTTAAATGAAGTAATGATTCTTGTTGCAGAGTTGAAAGAATTCTCTCTCACACACACAAATGTGAACAGGGCACACAGTCTAGTACTTGGCACATAGAAAAATCCTCAATAAATGATTATCCTGTTATTCATCCAACCCAGCACTAACCTAAGAATATAAGCATTCACTCATTTAACAAACATACATTCAGTGCTTTGCTAAATCTTGGACACCACAGGAAACACTGGGGATACTGCAGTAAATAAGATGAATAGGGTAATTAAATAAGATGTATAGGGTAATAGCACTCATGGTGCTTTTATTCTGTTAATGAGAGTCTCAAGCCATCCATGGACTGTGTGTGTGAGCTATGTGCATTAGAGCTATATGAGGGGACAGGTCTGGCATTGCACGCTGATGGAGCTGTGCAATACAATTGCGCCTTTCCTCTCCCTCTGCCTGTGATCCCACACAGCACCTGAGATGGGTGTGACTTGCCAAGATGTCAATCAATCTGCTGACCACAAGACATCACAAAGCAAGACTCCACCTCTGAAACATTATCTTCTGCCTTATTGGGTGAAGAACACTCCATCTAAGCTCCTTTGTGTGTGTCCCTCCTATAAAAATAAAGATTCCAGGTGCACGATCTCTTTCTAGCGATGTCCAGCATGAAAGCTGACGCCTTAAGGTTGCAGAGGCATCCTGCCCTTAATCTGAGAAACTCATGTCCATGTGTTGCGTGGTTTCTTGATGTTTTCTTAGTTTAATGTTGCAACCAACTCTTCTGAATCCAGCTCATCTCATCAGTGCAGGCAGCTGGTGAGAAATGAGTCTGCAGGTAAGGACACCTTTGATCAAAAAAGGAGTAATAAAGAAAATAAAACGAATATGATTGACTCCTGTTTACTGATCAGAATGTATATTCTGTCAGATGCAACACAGGTGGCAGGATAAGAAAGGGAACATTAAATCAGGTGTCAAAGGTGGACTCTAAGACTGCATGAAAATAAATCAGCTGTGCAAAGATATGAGATGAGATGCATACAGAAGGAAGTGCAAATGCAAACCCCCTGATTTCTGTTCAGGTCATACTAAGTTTCTTATCATTTTGTAAGCCTCAGCACTCTCATCTGTCGCATGAGCCTAAGGATGCTTAACTTACAAAGCTGCTCAGCAAATTAAATAGATATGTATGTATTCATTCGAATATTTACTAATGGTCTACTATATGCTATAGGCTGTTCTAGAAACAAGGGGTACAGCAGTGACAGCCTTAGCAAAATACCTGGCACATAATAAGCCCTCAGCTAATGCATACCACTGCGGTCACTGTCATCCCTTCTTCCCTAACACAACCCTGAAAGTAACCATGAGTGACTTACTGATCAAATGAAGCACCAGAAGGAGCCATGGAGAGAATACACTAAATACAGATGCTAGAAATTTCTCCATCCCTAGAAGAAACCCACTTCTGGGGGAAAAGCAGCCAAGGCGCTTAGAAGGGCTTTTGCAAAAACCATGGGATGAAGAATGAGGTCAGGAAAGCTGGTTACCCTTTGGCAAGAACTGGCATTGCCACAAAACAACAAGAAACTACAGTTCTACTCACTTGGAGCTCTAATATCAAGAGTCCAATGGTTATTTCTTCCTCCTCAATGCAGTTCTCTGGGAACAGCCCCAAGAAGACACGCTGTGGAACAAAAATGAACCGTAAGATGATTTAATCACAATTCCCAGCACAGGGGGAAACCTCAGGTGCTAGATGGATGTAATCGACCCCTTCCTATAATCTGTCCCTACTACTTCTTTCAAGGGCCCTACAAGACCCAGAGAGAAAGGTCCATGACACTGCACTGCCTACAGCACTGCACTCACTGTGACTTTCGGGAGAGAATGAGAATCAAGTCTCAAGATCTGAATTCTGAGCTGGGCTCTCCCAGGCTGTGGGACGATTGACAGCGGAATCCAACCTGGGCGCTGCACTGAACTACAAACACCAGAGCCAGCAACCCGACGGGCCAAGCATCGCCTACAACATGCACAAGGCACAATAACTTGGAAAAGAATAGGAGAAATCAACTTGTGCCCCACTGAAAGGACGGAAGGCAGCATCAACACCCCACTGTTGTGCTCAGAGTCTCCTAATTGAGAGAGGCCGGTCTCAAAGCGGAGGTGCAGAGCGACCTCAAGGTGCCCTTTCCAAGTGTGGGGTCCGAGTGCGCCTCCTCCAACGCTTGTTCCTCAGCCCTCGCTCTTCGCAACCGCCTGGCTCCGACCTTCCCCCATAGGCCGCCTCTTCCCCCAACTGCTAGAGACCAGACCGTCCCTGAGAGACAAAGACCACCGCCACCCCGCCATAACACAGGGAGACAGACGCACGTCTCCACCTAGACTCGCCAGAACTTAAGAAACCGCCCTGCGCTGCTGGCCGGAAACGGAAGTGCGCGCCTCTGAAGGGCCCGGACTACACTTCCCACAACCCTCTGCGGTGCGCGGCTCCTCAAGGTCCAACAGAAAAATGCTGTAAAGAGGGTGGAGTGACAAATTACAGGCGGGAAGAAAAAATTTACAAACCACACATCCCACCATAAACACCACAGGGGCACATTCTTTATGAATTCACAACCTAAATAAATTGGTTTCCAAGCAATTAATGTTTCCAAAAAATCATATGTTAAATAAAGGGCTAGTGTCTGGAATATACAAATCACTCAATGGTACAAAACTAAACGATCCAATCAGAAATTAGAAAATGGGCAAAAACACATGAGCAGGCATTTCTCCAAAGAGTACCTGCAGATGACTAATAACCACATTCAACTTCGTTAACATTAAGAAAAAGCAAGTTAATGTAAATTAATTCCACTCTCAAACACTTAAAACCAACTGCTGCTATGGTTCTCATGCTGTAGTTCTAGGATCAGGAGAGTCATTGTGAATTTCCTTGAGCCCCAGGGATGCAAAAAAATCTCTGAAAAAGGAGGTTCCCTTCCTCTATTTGGATGCATGGCAAGGTTTAAGAACCCTCCATGAAAATGAAAAGGTTTGTTGGGAGAAGGGGATCTCAACTTAGCCCTGGCAGGGATTGGGGGTGGGGGCAGGGGTTGAACCCAGAAGCGCTTAACCACTGAGTCACATCCCCAGCCCATTTTGTTTTAAGACAGGATCTTGCCGAGTTGCTTGGGGCCTCACTAAGTTGCTGAGGCTGACTTTGAACTTGAGATCCTCTGCCTCAGCCTCTCCAGCTACTGGGATTATAAGCATGTACCAAATTCAGTGGCCCTGGCAGGTTCTTGACTTATGCCACAGAAAGGCATTTCAGAGTGTGTCAAAAGAGGCATGAACAAAGATTCACTTAGGAAAGCAAGATTTGTTCCATAAAGCAAGAAATAGAGTAGGATACACACCCAAAGTGAGAAGGATTGAGGGCACTCCACACTTTGGTGATCGTGGGTTCTTCTTTTTAAAGGGACTTTTGTAAATACTGAGCCTTAGAAGTATGTGGGGGCGAGTGATGTCAGCTGGGGAGCTCAATTCTCATGGTGTACAGGGCTGGTCACAATGGTCTGATTCTTTCAGGATTAAGAGCTGATGTCATTCAGTTGATAATGTTTGATATATACCCATATCTTATGGCTCTGCATAAGTCTCACAATAATTTCCCTCTGCTTTATTTAATCTAAAGAAAGCTGGCAATGTATGTAGGTATCAACTATCTAGACTCACGATACGCTAAGATTCAGGGCTTTTTAAGAATTTTGATCTGGAGGAAACAGGCTTGGGGAATAAAGGTGGGAGTGCTCATGGAGCTTCTAGGATTTAAGATTACTTTCTTTTATCTTGCCTGTTAGTCTCCTTTCTATCCATCCTCATATCGTCTATCCTACCTCACACTGAACTAAATTATCTGTTATTTTAATGCTGACTCCTTGTTATTCCCCAGAGTCATGTGATGCTTAAAAATAAGTGTATGCCCTGAGAAATGCATTGTTAGGTGATTCTGCCCTTTTGCCAACTTCAGAGTGTAGTTACACGATGTCACTAGGAGGTATCTCAAGGGACCACCATTGTATATGTGGCCTGTCATTGACTGAAGTGTCATTATATGGCATATGACTCTTTGTGTTCTAAATATTTGAGAACCTCATGAGCAAGTATTTGGACCAGGGGTGAAGAGGAGCAGGAAGCAGGAATAATTATATTTGACATTTTAAAAACATTGAGTCCCTAATCTTCCCTTGGCCATCTACATCTGTTATCTATATTTCTTCCCCTTAAGGTTTGTCTTCTGAATGATGAATTTATGTTTGTCTTCCCCCTACCTACCCCGCTGTGCTGGGATGAGCTATATTCATTAAAAAATTTTTTTCAGGGCTGGGGATGTGGCTCAAGCGGTAGTGCACTCGCCTGGCATGCGTGCGGCCCGGGTTTGATCCTCAGCACCACATACAAATAAATATATTGTGTCCACCGAAAACTAAAAAAATAAATATTAAAAAAAATTCTTAAAAAAATTTTTTTTTCATCCTTGTTTTCTTCCTACATTTTAACAAAGAGCAAAGGATGGCCCTGTTAACATTTTACCCATCTCTTCAATGATAACCATGACCAAATATTCCAAGGGGGTTGAGTCCATTTATTAGTCACATCTATATCCTCATGCGGCCCACACACCGACCCACTAAAGACAAGTAATGAAGAGGTCAACTTGAGTACCAGATAATAAGGGGCGATAATCTATACCTTTAGGTGCTCCTTTCAATGTGTGAAAACACCCACAGTTTGCAATCAGTCTGGAGAAGGTTCCGTTTCCTACAGAGACTATATAACAATAACTGCTAACAACTTTCATGCAGGACACTTTGGGTTGATCAATATTAAATGTCTTTTGTGAGAACTATCAGAATCCCAGTTTGCACTTTAGCACTCTTGATCCTGCAGACCTAGCCTGACCCATGTGTCCGTAACTAAGGCTTTCTCAACGATCAGCGTTCCTGCCTGGGTGGCTCTGCTTGGGTCAGGGGCCCCTGTGGCCTATAAAACATGACACAGATGTCTCTGAGAATGTTACTTATTGGCCATAAATGTTAAGTCCATTTTAATTTTTCTACCTTAATTACCTTAAGCTGTTCACCAAATTACCTTTGGCTGTTCACCAAAGAGCCCTGGCTCCAGATCACCTGCTGCACAATAGATAGGTCCACAGGTTAAGATGTGATCCAAGAGGCTGCTCAGCCTGTAAGGGTTGCTGTTTACAGTTTAACTTGAGCTGTAACCTAGTCACCATATTTTAGTTTAAAAAGTTTTTAAATTCAATGTTTTCTAAACAATTTGAGTGTCTCATACATAATCACAAAAAGCCACAATTTAGTTTCATTTAAAGTCAAAAACATTAGTCTTCCTTTTAAATAAAAAACAAAACGTACAACTGGATTTTATCCAGTGCAGAGAACAATACCCCAGTGTCATGCTGTCTTCCCACCCCGTCATCCTATCTTCCTTAGTGGGACACAGGTTGAGGATGCACCACATGGGGGAAGCTGTGGTGACTTGAGTGCTCTACTTCTTGGGAACACATCTTGGAACTGATGTGTTACATACAAATCTAGATGATCAATACGATCAGCAAACTGAACTTGCATCTAATTCAAGCATGAGATTATTTAAAAAGATTGCAACTCCCTCTACCCTTGAGCAACATAATAATATATATACCGAGTATCAATAATGGAATGTTCATACAACTATTAGAGAATGATAACACCAGATAAATGAATTTGAAATTTCATCAGGAAAAAACTTCTGGCCTTTTTGTAGACATTGTTCTATTTAACCTTTTCCTCAACTACTAAAATTTCAACAGATCCACTTATGATCACCTGTACATATTATTGTCACTTTTAAATAAACTAGTAATTCAGGTTAATGGCATATCCTTGACATTTTTCAACAATGCAGAAAGTTCAGAAATTAACATCCTTAGGGTTTCACACTGCCATAAAGTGTGTTGCAGGAGTCAATATGTTCTTTGTCCTCTCAAAAGGCAGGTTGTGGTGAAGAAAAATGTGAACTAACCAAATACAGAACCAAAGGAAAAGCTTCTGGGCGGAGGAGTCACCTTCCTGCTTCCTGGGCAGTTTTTTCTTTACACGTTTTATTAGTGCAGTACGGTTGTAGATAATTCCTAGGCAGTTCTGAATTCAGTTTTGAATTACTCTTTGAAAAATTAGTTCTAGGAGAGGATTTTTTAAAATATTTATTTATTTTTTCTTAGTTCTCGGCGGACACAACATCTTCGTTTGTATGTGGTGCTGAGGATCGAACCCGGGCTGCACGCACGCCAGGCGAGCGTGCTACCGCTTGAGCCACGTCCCCAGCCCAGGAGAGGATTTCTTAACATCCAGATATTAAAAACACTTCCATCACTTTTATTTCCAATTATACTAAGTAAAATGAAAGAAATGAAATCTGGCCTGTAAAACATGTACAGAGTTCCAATATTTTTTATCCACATTACTTGGGACCAGAAGTACTCTGAATTGCAGATTTTAGAATATTCACATAGGCATACTGAGGTATTTGGGGATGGGACCCAAGTCTAGACATGAAATTCATTTGTTTCACAGACACTTGACAATTTTACAATTTACACTATAACTTAGGTAATTTAAGTATGCCTGCACTTTTACTGTAACTTGTCACATAAATCGCACAGGTGGGATTTTCCACTTGTGGCATCATTTTGGCACTCAAAGTGTTTTGGACTTGGGAGCATTTAAGATTTCAGATTTTCAGATTAGAGATGCTCAGTCTGTGTGTGAATGTATACACAGTCATGTGTGTGTAATTAAAATCAAGCTATTGAATACCCTTTCTTAGCCCTAAACTTTAGGCTAAGAAATATAACTCATATTTTTGGTATGTTGATACTTCTCTTTATTTTTGATTGATCATTTTGGAATAACCACACCTTTCTTGCAAAGGAAAATTATTGAATAAATGACAGAAAATTATTCCAATTTTTTTAATTATTAAAATCTATTTTACTTCAAACACTTGGCAACCATAAATCACCACCTAAGAACTGATACATTTATGACACAAACATGACACACATATTCAACCTTGCCAGGTAGCCAGAAAACACACACACACACACACACACACACACACACACAACCACTCACACAAATACTTATTTCAAATGTTTTTACAGTTTTACAAATTTCACATTGTTGATGAAATATTTCATTTACTAAAGAAATTTCTTTGGAATAAATCACTTCCAAAACTTGAAATCTTCAGAGCCCTAATTTTTAACCCATCTGTATTTATATTAATTTGTACAATCAGAGATCTTTGCCTTTATAATTGGGGGAAGAGACTATTTAGTTTTCGTTGTTAAACTAAGATTTTCCACAATTCCATGTCCTTTCCAAAAGTTAATGAATGGAACTAAGAGTTGATTCTCCTGGGATAGAAGCAAGGTTTCCCGCCATCAACAACTGTCCCCTGAGACTTTCTGTCATTGTCAGGTTTGGCACATGCTCTGGCTTATTCCTCAAAGAGATGGTTCCCAAGGGTCATTTCATGGGGACAGAATGTTACTAATTACCTCTACCAGATATCACTTTAGGTTTTCTTCCTTTTCTCCAAAGAATTTACCTCTATTTTCTGCTCTTAGTTCATCTCTGCATTTATTTTGTTATTACTTAAGAACAGAGGCTTTAGGCACACAATTACCTACAGGATCAGAATTCATGATTCAGGGACAAGGGTCATGAAGGTATATGAAAAAAATCTTAAAAACTGAAGAGTACCTATAAAATTTGCTTGACTAGAAAGCACTCTTGCAGGCTTAATTTAAATGAAGAGCACTCAGCCAGAGTAGCAACACACACACACACACACACACACACACACTCTCTCTCTCTCTCAGGGGACCCTCACATTAGGAACACATTCCACAGAAAAAATAATACCAAACATGGGGAGGAAAAACCCCACTTAGAAACAGTGCTCCTTTATACTGCTCTGAATATATGAAAATAAGCTCATTCACTCCCTGTACTGCCCACATGTTCTCAACTGCTCATACAGACCCTTTCTGGTCTAAATCCCCAAGGAATTATTTTCAACAAAGAACATTCCTGGGAATCCAAGTCCTAAGGAGCAGCCTACTCATGGTAAATGAAATGGGAATTTCAGAACCCTGAGGGATCTTTGCTATCTGGCTGTATAGTCTTTCCTAAATGGTCAAACAAGATGGTAATTTTTGTGCCTTTTGTTGTTTTTACTCGTTATATCATTTCTTGTTGCAAAACAGCATAAATTCCAGAAAACAAAGAAAACCTGACATTAACCATAATATCAATTAGATGCACCCATAATCCCTTTCAATTATAATCTATACATAAACATCATAATGGTTCTAGAAAAGAAAATTTCTGTATTCTTGTCCTGTTTTTCATTTCATATCATGGCCAATTTCCTAATGTTTATAAAATCTTCACTTGTAACAAAGCACCATACAAAACAGATCCCAATCTAATGGAGAACTTAAGTAGTAGAATGACACTCTGAAAAACTGTTTTCCAGCCTAAGTTTTATGAACTACAACACTTTTTCAATCTTCTCTACAACAAGCATTTCATTTACTCTATGAGGGGAGAAAGGTCTATCTAACTGGTTTTCTCTCTCAGATTCAGATCTGAGTGTTATCTGCAAGGAAAAGGGTCAGTATTTATTACATCTGTAGGATGTACATAAGGGCCAAGTCTGACACTGCTCATGGAATTGCTATGTTAGAATATGTAGTTCACAGCTTTCTCTCTTTCTTGAAAATGGATTTCCAGATATACAATAAAAGAAGGTTAACTAAAAGGTTTTCCACATGCATCATTTTATACTAGTCCTTCCCACCAAATGCACTTTCTTAAAATAAATTTTAAAAAACAAATGGAATAAATTTCCAAACTAGTTATATTCATAGGATTTCTCTTCATTATGAGTTGCCTGATGCCTAATAAGTTTAGAGCTATTAATGAAAGCTTTCCCACACTGATTACATGTAAATGGTTTCTCTCCAGTGTGAGTTCTTTGATGTACAATAAGTCGAGCACTCAAACTAAATGTTTTCCCACACTGATTACATTCATAGGGTTTCTCTCCAGTATGAGTTCTCTGGTGTTGAGTGAGACATGAACTCTGCCTGAAGGATTTCCCACACTGACTGCATTCATAGGGCTTTTCTCCAGTATGAGTTCTCTGATGCACAACAAGAACATAACTCTGGCTGAAGGATTTCCCACACTGATTACATTCATAGGGTTTTTCCCCGGTATGAGTTCTCTGATGCATAATAAGGTGAGAACTGCGGTTAAAAGATTTTCCACATTCATTACATTCATAGGGTTTCTCTCCAGTGTGAGTTCTTTGATGTGCCACTAGCTGAGAGCTCCAGCTGAAAGATTTTCCACACTGATTACATTCAAAAGGTTTTTCCCCTGTGTGAGTTCTCTGATGTGCAACAAGTTTATAACTTTGACTAAAGGATTTTCCACACTGATTGCATTCATAGGGTTTTTCTCCAGTGTGAATTCTTTGATGTGCAATAAGCTTATAACTCTGGATAAATGATTTCCCACACTGACTGCATTCATAGGGCTTCTCTCCAGTATGTGTTCTTTGATGTGCAATTAGTTTGTAGCTCTGCCTGAATGACTTTCCACATTGGTTGCACTCATAAGGCTTCTCTCCAGTATGAGTTCTCTGGTGTACCACAAGCACGTAGCTCTGGCTAAAGGATTTCCCACACTGATTACATCTATAAGGTTTCTCTCCTGTATGGGTTCTTTGATGGGAAACGAGGTGGGAGCTCCGGCTGAAGGATTTTCCACATTCATTACATTCATAAGGTTTCTCCCCTGTGTGAGTTCTTTGATGTGCAACAAGATGTGAGCTCCAGCTAAAGGCTTTCCCACATTGATTACATTCAAAAGGTTTTTCTTCAGAATTATTTCTCATATTTTGAGCACGGGATGAATTCTGAGAAGTTTTACTACATTTATACTGACTCTCTTCAATAGGAATTTTCTGCTGTTCATTAAAGGATATGTCATGGTTCAAAACTTGCCCACATTCCTTAAAATCAAAGGTCTTACCTTCTTCATAAATTTTTTCATGTATATTTAGGGATGCTCTGTGGCTAAAAGGTTGAATAGTGTCACTAAATTCATAGGACTTATCTCTTTTATGAGTTCTTGTAAACTGAATAAGGTGGATGCTCTGAGGGAGTTTTCCACATTCATTATTTTCACATAATTTCTCACTGTCATTAATCTTCTGATAACTGTTTACAACAGAATTATAATGAGATTTTTTAACATGTGACAAATGTTTATGAAAATGGTTTCTTATGGGTATCACTGGGAGTGAAAGAAGGCTGGGATTTAGATCACTCTTCTCAAATTCATCACTTTTGCAAACCTTCTCATGAATAATAGCTTTCTTTTGAGTGGCTGCCATTCCCTGAAAAAGTCTCTCTTGCTTTTCCTGTTGCTTCTTCAACTGATCCTTATGATTATGAACTTCTTCACATGAAGATAGCCAAGGATCATCTCTTGTCAACCTTTCTATCTTTACTCCAGGTGATGATTCCACATCAAAAATGCTCTGTTTTGAAGTTGATTCTTTCCTTCCAAGTGCAGTTGCCAAGTCTGAAAGAAAGCAAAATAAGACATCCTAGACAAAAATGTTCGAGCTCAAATAGAGAAATAAAGCTGATAAGAAAAATATGAAAAAACTGGATTTGTTATCAGCTATGGACCTAAAACCTGGGTTGAAAAAGCAAAAGGATGGAAATAAGCAGTTAAGTACCAAATTCCCACAGTCCAATAGTAAAACAGGGCATTCAAATGAAACTATTTTTAATCTTAGTTTTGTCTAGGTGAGCAAGACTTTGAATACCAAGTATCTGCCAATTCCAAAATAAAATCACCTATGCAGAACATACAGAATTCTCACCCATGTCCCATGAGGGTAATGGAAATTTGAGTCTTCTCTGTGTGAGGCGGGCTGGCTATAAAATTGAACTAAGAAAAAGAAGCATTGAACAAACCACACTACACAGAAAGTAATTTTGGAAAGCAGTGGGGAGGGGGTCTCTACAACCTTAGAGGTCCAGTTTCCACACTGGGAAGAGAGAGAGCAGGAGCCTGTGTTTGCTTTATTATACCTGAGGAAACTTCAAAGGTTATCCATTGAATGTTCTTCACCAAATAAGGCAGGAGGTAGGCTGTCCAGGCTCAATGGGTCACACCAAATTCCGAAGTACGAGAGCAGCCTTCCTAGCCCAGCAAAGACTGAAGTCATATGCATTGCATAATCCAATAAGTGAGAGGGGCCACAAAGTAGCATGCAATCTCCTTGGCTCAAGGCCAAGTGAAGATGCTAAATAACTTAGGAGTGGCTTTCTACACAGAATCTCAGCCTCATCTTGCAATCCTTAGCAAAGAAACAGAAGGTGGTTCCCACACTCATTCGTTCCAGGCATATATTCACCAGAACAGGTTAGAAGCTACATTACTAGGAATTACTGGAGGCGTGAAACCTGCTACCATAGACTATATGTAAACTACATTTATGAACCCAGAAAAAGGAATGAGGCACTATTATCCCAGTTCCCTAAATATCTTATAATATGGCCCATGGATTCCTGTGATTCCAACCAAGAAAGGATGCTCAAAAACAGAGGCCTTGGTGGTTATTAGGTAATGCAATGAAAAGTACACCTAGAAAGAATGATCATATGCACAGTCCACTAGGAGAGTGGGGAAAATGTGGCATCTCCTACAGGGATTTTTCAAACAAACCTTCTACACCTACAATGACCTCTACGTGTTTGGATCTCAAATGGACATGTGTATGAGAAAGTTCTTTTTATACCCTTTTCCTCACTCAAACTAGGACATTGTGTCTGGTTTGAAAAGCTGTTAAGGAAAGATATATGGGACTTTGGGTCTCCAGGCTTGGGACAAAACAGAATCACTGAAGAATTTGGTCCCAGGCTTTGGACTTTAGGAATCACTAAGACTGAACAAGCTCAAGCCCAAGAAACTGTACCTTTTCTACCCTACAAATCAAATTTCATCTTCTTTAGAAATTAAGAGCACAAACACAACGTATGTGTGGACAAAAATCATTCTGGCTGCTGAACCCACAGCTCTTAACAGGGATGTGAAAACATTTAAAGAGACACAGCTTCATTAAGGAAGATGATACACTTACCCCAAGAGACCAGGTTCCTGTGGTTCTCCAGGATCACACTTCTGTCAGGGATCCTATAAGCAGGGTTCAAAGTATCCTGTTCCTCATGAGTAAAGTCCACAGTTACAATATTGAAGTTCACTTCTTCCTAAAACAGGACACACATTCCTGCTCAGCTGGGCATCATTTCCTTTCAATGTTCATGGAGAAGGAAATGTTTGACAGATGTTAGTAGGAAAATCTGATGACCTGGCAGTTGTCCTAAGATTGTCAGCGTCAAAGGATTATAGTCAAGGTGTATGGATGCCTTTGGGTTTTGGATGCTGGATCTGTTTTTACAACCCCAAAAAGGAATTCCAGATAAGAACCAACAAAAATTATTTTCTCTTTCCACCTTATAAAACAACATTAATTCTGAATTTTGTATGGTGAATTCCCACTTATGAATTCCTTCCAAATCCTCAAAAAATGTTTTTTCTGTCAAAGACCAGATAGTAAACATTTTAGACTATGGAAGTTACACAGTTTCTATCACAACTATTCAACCGAAAGCAATTACAAAAAATACACAAGTGAGTGTTAACTATCACAATAAAACTTTATTTACAAAATCAGGCAGTGGGCCAGAATTGCCCACAAGCTGGACCTTGCTAATGCCTGAGACACAGAGAATGAAATATAAATCTTAACGAAAAGCAGTATGTTCAGGTTTAATAGCACTGAATTCAGAAGAAAAGAGACTTAGGTTTTCTCCTCTATAAAGTATAAATCTGAACTAGAATTCCGAATTCTGAGAAGTTTTACTAGATATATATATATATAGTTTTTGGTCATTTTGTAATCCTTTTTTTTTTTTTTTTTTGAGGTGGGGGTTTACCAGGGATTGAACACAGGGGTACTTAACCACTGGACCACATTCACAGCTCTTTTAATGTTTTATTTAGAGACAAGGTCTCCCTAAGTTGCTTAGGGCCCCACTAAGTTGATGAGGCTGGCTCTGAACTCGAAATCCTCTTGCCTCAGCCTCCCAACACACTAGGATTACAGGCCTGCATCACTACACCCAGTCCTTCACAATCTCTTTTAATGGTGAATTTATTCCGTCTCTATTAAGCATAATTATACCCAAACCATTGGTTTGCTGAAAGAATTAGTTGTGCTGCTATATGAAAAATCATAAGCAAAATTTACTAAACAAATAGTAAAGGCTTGCAGTTACTCTTATGATTCTTTAGTCTGAGAATTTTGAAAGATTAAAAGATAGCCAATGTGACTTTTTATCATGAGACCTTAGTCTTCAGGTAACACTTCTATTTCTATGGGCAAGATTTTCAGTTAGGAGATGTCACTGTATTACTGTCATATAAATGGAGTCTCTTGGGCTGCCTCTTCTAAGCAAGAAAGAGCCTGTTTCCAAGACTACTGGGCAGAAATTTTGATCCAAAAAAAAGTGCTGAGGGTGACCTGTCCTTACCCAAGGACATTTGATTAACCACTGTATTCTTAAGCTGTGGTTCATGAATAAGATACATGGTCCTGAATCCCATGAAACTATATGCAAAATGCTGCTGTATAAGCATTTTTCTAAGTCAGGGCCCACTGTAGGTATTCTGACCATGGAATGTACAGGGAAGGTTCCTCTGGTGAGCAACTCTGGAGTGAGGGGGAGAACTGGCACTCTGTTTCCCATGCATGGAATGCCCCACAATTTCTCCCTGAAGCTAGTAAGATAACTATACAGGTGCGATTTCTAATTTCTAAGGTAATATCCTTGGAGAAAAGGGCTCTGTGTTTTAATTAGCCTGGACTTTGACCTCAGGTATCCAACACCTGGGATTAAAGGAATACTAAATAATAATGTAGTCATGGCACTAACAAACTGGGTTACTTTTGATACAAATAAACCCAGCTGCTTGGAGGGGAGCCACTCTTTCTTTCCCTTTCCTGCCTCTGCGTCTTGTCTCTGTGTCTCCTTTGATTTTTCTTACAGGACACAAATGTCAACAAAATTGATCTTTTAAGTTCCTGTTTCACAATCAATATCAATCCATGCTTCCTTTTAATTAACATTCCCCTTTGCAGTTTAGCATATGCACCATTTGTATTAAGATTTTTCAAGTATTAAATAAATAAAAGTAGACTGAATTAGTACCCCTCTCTCTACATACTAGCTATCCATTCTCAAAGGTCTATGGACTTCCACCTTTAAGACCCACCACAATTTCTCATCATTTGCAAAACAGACATTTGTGTCACTAGGCCATGATCCATGAAGACAAGAAGGTACTTATAGTTTGCAAATGTGATTTCAGTGATTAACAATAGTGTTAATGTACAGTAAATATTAAATATACTAAATCTAATGTACTAAGTTATTGCAATAAATGAATCGATGGTATAAAATGTTTTCTAATATCTCCGAATAACTCTCACCCAAATTCTGATTTAAGTCCTCGTTTCTCACCTGAATCACACAAGATGTATCACATACCCATCTGAACAAGTCCATCAATATCGAATATGGCTTTTCTATACTTTCACTCCACTTAATTCTTTGTGTGTGTGTGTGTGTGTGTGTATGTGGGGGGTGACTAAGGTTTGAATTCAGAGGCACTCAACCACTGAGCCACATCCCTGGCCTATTTTTTGTATTTATTTAGAGATAAGGTCTCACTGAGTTGCTTAGCTGAGGCTTTTGCTTCTGCCTTGGCCTCCTAAGCTGCTGGGATTACAGGTGCACACCACCACACCTGGCTTCCACTTAATTGTTTCACCCACCCAAACTTCCTGCTCCTCAAAACTTCTCCAACTCTTCAACTGTGCCCTCAGAATTCTGTAACAATGAACTCCTGCAGCTGCAATCTCTTTACCAATAATTCCTCGTCCATCCCCTCCTCCAGAGGCCTCAAAAACTAAGGATGGTTGTGGGAAGCGTTCTCACATGTGATTGGGTACCTCCCTGACTGGGTGTGAGGCGCTCAGGCCAACTGTGTCAGAGCTTATCCCCACCCTTTTTAGGTTCGAGAGCCTGTCCATGTGGGGGTGTGACTGACCATTGACCCTAAAACCAATCACTGACCCTGACCTTGGAATGCTGTCCCCCTCGACCTTCACTGGATGGAATTTTCCCCTGAATTTTTTGTTTCCCAATAAAAGCCCACTCTCTGGCGTGCTCCTTCCTCTCTCCTGCTGGTCTCTTGTGTAAACCTTGCTATCACCAGGTGGCTTGAGGCAGGAGCTGGGAAGGGCCGTCTCTTAGCTGGGCAAGAAAAAGGTAAATTGAGTTTATGTGTCTTTATTTTGATCTCACTAGTTAACTTCTATGTTTAGAACCTCTAGTATGAAGCTAGCGTGCTGGTCGAGCAGCAGAGATGGTCCTGCTCCCAGAAATGTAGGCACAAAGAGGAGGATGTGTCTTCCTGGTTACAGGGGAAATCATGCCATTTACCTCACTCCCTGGAGCTTTGTCCTAGCAACCTCGTGAACCCCCCAGATGTGGTGTCAGGTGGTGTCTTAACAGGTCACATTTAATTCTCACTAGGCTCCTGTGAGAAAATACCATTAGCAGCACCATTTTTCATATGAAGATCAAGAAAGTTAAGAGACATGCATATTTGTGCCTAAGGTTGGTAGCTGGGATGCAACCTCAAGCTGCCATGACACAGGGACTGTCACATCACTCATCAGTTCCTATGGTTAGCCCAGCTCTCTGATCCTGGAACTGCTTTTCAGTAGATTACTCCTAAGCTGATACATCAGATCTGAGGGTTTTTCAACAACACCTACTGCAGCCATGCAATACAGCAGACTGCTCCTCTCTACTGGCTCCATTTCCCCCTTTAATCTTGTTTTTTGATGATGTGAGACCAATTCCTCCACTGAAATGTCTGCTATGGCACCTGCCAGTCCTTATTCTGTTCTTCTCTAACCAGGGCCCTCTTTATCTTTTCCATCTTAATTATTCCCTTTAGAGTCATTTTAATCTTTCTCTTTGATATTTTTTTTAATTCTCTTTCAAATGTTCCCTTGACCTGTGGATTTTTCACTAAATGGTCCACTGAATTTAGTTACAAACTAAATGAATCTGAATCTCAATCTCTGATCTAGAGAAAGGAGTTTTAAAATACCAGAGGAAAAAGCCACCAAAGCAGCTGGCTAGAGTATCACAATAGTCACTGCCTCTGTGCAATCCTTTCCCATTGAGCAGAAATTCTATTAGACCTACTAGGGCCCCCTTTTCTGTCATAATCCAAAATTACTATTTTAAGACTTTGCCATGCTTGTCAGACATCTCTCCACTCCAATTCCCGTCCCCATGCTCATCTGATCTCTCACAGAGAAAAATATGAGCCTTAGAGAATCCCCCAATCTCATTCCTCCTGTGTAAATCCTTCTCCCTATATGGGGCCAATTTACTCATATTTACCAAATTCATTCCTCTAGCACTGACCAAAGACTCTGCATTATAGTTCATCTCCTGTCTCCTGATTGTTACATTTCTTTTTCTCCACTGTAACCATTTAGGTAGAGCCAAATCATTTCAATCCTTCAAAAATAAACAAAATCTTTCAATCTCAAGTATTTGTGCAGCTTTTACTTTCAGAAAACAACCAAATTTCTTGGAAAGGATGCCCATTCTTGTCTCCACTTCGTTCCACTCACTTCCCAGCCTGCTTCAGTTTGGCCTTGACCACCCACCAGTTACCTTTCTCAGTGTAAAGAAAGGCCTTTGTTACCTCACCTGGGATGGGATGGCCAGTGACCCAGCATCTTCTCCCTCAACCTTGATGTTAATCTCTTGAGGAAGGAGAGAGTCCTGAGAAGTCAAAACAAATAAGAAAAAGGAAAACAGAGAACTGAGTCACAGTTTAGAGCCCCACTCTGAGTCACTAGGACTTGACATACCATGTGTCTCAACATGTCCCACCTACCAATGTCTGCTCCCTCCCACAGGTACTCTCAAGCTAACCCTGTGGAGAGAAGGGATACCTGGAGGAACACTGAGACCCCAGTGAGCATGAGATCTCTGTGCGTCTTCCAGGCTAGCCCTGCTGGTGGTTAAATGCAGAAGTGACCCCAGGTACTACTCAGAACAAAAGCACTTCCAGCTGAGCCCTGCCTGAATTCCTGCATCGTGAAATTATAAAGAAATAAAATGGACTACAGCATATATGTGTGTGTATTTGTATGTGTATGTATGTATGTGTATATTCAAAATATTAAGAAAATGATAGCCTCATCAGGAAAATGGACAAAGGAAAACATGCTTGCAATTCAACCAAGAAGAAATAAAATTATCTGGTGAAAAAATTACACACACACACACACACACACACATACACACGTATATTGCTTACATACGCTTATACATTTTGTTTTATATACATATGTATACACATATATATTATACATATGCTTAACTATATCAATATCTTTAAATCTACTTGTAGGTATCCTTGGGAAATAACAGAAAACATATTCAGATGCAGTATGAGAGTGCTCACTAAAGGGTATACATTATCATAGCAAAAATGGGAGAGGATTAAATATCCATTAGTATATAGCTAGTAAATAAATTATGCTCATCCAGATAACCAAATGCTATTTAGCATCCAACATGTTTACATGTAATAAATGGTAGAAAGATGTCTACAGGACTGGGGATGTGGCTCAAGCGGTAGCGCGCTCGCCTGGCATGTGCAGGGCACTGGGTTCGATCCTCAGCACCACATAAAAAAATAAAATAAAGATGTTGTGTCCACCGAAAAACTGAAAAATAAATATTAAAAAATTCTCTCTCTTTAAAAAAAAAGAAAGATGTCTATAATATAGCACTGAGTGAAAAGTTAACAATATATATAAGATAAATAGAATTTTATAAAATACAAATATGCTGCTCTTTGAATATTCATTGTTAACTTCAGTAAGTGCAGTAGATATTCAGAGGTGTGTTTAGATGTGGAGAATCCTTTCCCGCCTTTATGTACATTATGCTAGCTACTTTCACTTCCTTCCCACTGCAATAGTGAAATTATTTCTGGGTAAATAATTTCATTATTGCAGTGAGGAAACTTTTTGAGCAATTATCAAAAAGAACATTCTTCAAAGCATTAAAATCAGCTATTTGGGCTAGAGTTGCAGCTCAGTGGTAGAACACTTGCCTAGCATGTGTGAGGCACTGGGTTCGATCCTCAACACTACATAGAAATAAATAACTAAATAAGTATTGTGTCCATCTACAACTTAAATTTTTTTTAAAGTAGCTATTATTTGAAGGAGTCATACAGAGGAGAGGGCCACTGTGCATTTCAATCTGTATCAATGTTTTTCAAAAGCATTTATTCTTTCATTAAATACCTAGAAAACAGCAAAAGTGTTTCTCTCTTGAAAAATCACCTTGAAAAAAGACCATTCCTTTGTAGCTTCCTCAAGTTTCTCTCTGTAGGGTGCAATAACTGGACCTGTCAAGTGGCAGTCCATTCATGTATATTTTCTCCTTCTCAAATCTTCTGACACTGGAAGCAAGTGCTATTGATTCTTGAATCAGAAACTGAAAGGAAACAAACTGTTGTATTTTCCCAGAGGTGTGCCTGTTATTTCCCCTTGTGTTAGTCAGCTTTTCAGTACCTGGTGACCAAAGTATCTGAGAAAAAAAACTTAAAGGAGGAAGCGTTTGTGGGCCCATGGTTCAGAGGTTCAGTCAATGGTCAGCTGGTTCCATTGCTCTGGGCCTGAGGTGCAGCATCATGGTGGAAGCAGGGGATAGAGAAGCACTGCTCAACTCATGACAGCCAGGAAGCAGAGGGCAAGCAGCCACAAAAAAGATGCATCTCTCAGGGCAAACCACCCCAGTGACCCACCTCCTCCAACCATGCCCCACCTGCCCAGGTACCACCCAGTCAGCCCATTCAAACTAGGATGGACTGATTAGGTTACAGCTCCCATAATCTGATCATTTCACTGTTGAATATTCCTGTATTCGCACAGGAGTTTGGGGGGATAACACCTTATACCCAAACCATAACACCCTAACCATCTAGAAATAGTTTCACTAATACAGTGGGGAGGATTACATAAAATGGCTAGTATTAGTGTGTAGAGGCAGGAAAGGATTTCTCCAAATCTAAACACGCCCCTGTCTATTTCCTGGGCAGGTCCTGAGGTTAACTATGAGTATTCAAAGAGCAGGAGCTGCTGCAATAGGAAGAAGGCCCAGTGCCAAGAGCGCTGAGCCAGCCACTTACACCACCACAGCACAAGCCGACAGAGAGGCTGAACTGCTTCAAGTTGTTACACGGCCATTACAAAATGGCTTAAAACACCAAAGAGCAAAACTGAACACAATTCACAATGCCAAAACCACAACAAAGCCACAGATGATCTAAGAGAGCCACAGGCTTTGACCCCAAACTGCTATTGGACCTGCCCTATCCATCATGGAAACGGCCTCCATGAAAATCAACATTTCTAAAGTGCGACGACAACAAACATGTCTTTTCTTGCTACCGAAGTGGCTGAAGTTGAATTCTAACAATTTTGTGGCCACATGATAATTAACTCTACCTGGGAAATGAGAAAAGTTACTCAAAAAAGAAAAATTATAAACATTAGCTTGTATTTTAAATCATTAAACACTTTTTCAGTTAATTGTGTGTGTGTGTGTGTGTGTGTGTGTGTGTGTGTGTTTAGGAACAGCTAAAATCAGTTCAGAAACATAACTGAGAAACAATGTTTCCTGCTCAGCAGGTACTTGGCAGGAACAAAGACCCTTTGCATCACACATATTCTTCCAGTTATTTTTACCCAACTCTTCCTCTAGTTCCTGAGAGCTGAGACCTTCTCTGTCCTGTTTATCCTGGCTTCATGTGTTTTAATTAGTGGTAGATGCAAAGGAGCTGGGTGTAAATGTGTTGGCTATAGAATGAGTACAAGAGAAAGGACATGAAATGCTACCTGAGCCTTCACATTTGTCTCCATGGTCCCTGAAGGTACCAGCTTACTGCTGAGCTCGAGTCCCTCCTCTGAGTAGAGGAAACCTCTGTTGGTGCCTTTCTGCCCAGAAAATTCAATGTATCAGCTTCCAGAACCTCCTCACAACCAACTCAATGCTCAAAGCCAGCTTGTCACATAGGTGTGCACGCACGCACGCACACATACACACACACACACACACACTCATCACCAACCTTTCCCTTAGGTTCTGTCCACTTTGAATTACTGAGTGTTTTAGGAATGCCTCCTGCATTTACATCCCAGTTTCCACAAAATCATCCAAACTTTTCTGAAGGAGTGATGTGTCTAATTTTCCAGTGCAAAAATTAATGGTAAAAGAGTTTAGCAAACTCATTTAGGTCCGCTGATGGCGTGATACAAGCCCTCCCCTTTCCACTGCCCCACTTCAAAGTCTAACTTCACTGAAAACCCAGATCAAACGCCACCTCCTCCCTGAAGTGTTCCCAGGTAGCACAGAGCTCAGCTCTTCTTCCCTTCATGTTTTCCTGTTTTGATTGGACCCTTTCTGAACCAGTAAAGTTGTCCCCTGGTATTACTTCCATATCTCTATGGATTGTGAATTTTATACTAAGAATTTTATACTAAGAACTGTATATTTTTGAAGAGCACAAAAAAAGTTCTCTGAATTATTGATAGGATTAGAGACTAATGCAGAGTTGGGGACGTATAATCAGAATGAGAAGCCTTTAGCCCACTTTCTGTGTCTCTAGAGTATTTAAAAATGATCCTCTGTGTTCAACAATCACCTCTTACTGTCATAAAAGGGCACTTTTTTTTTTTTGCATACTTTACAGAATGGGAAAAGAAATGAGACTGATGACTGCAGCCCTGGCCAGCACGGGCTACTAAACCGAGGTCACTCAGGTAAATTTGGAGTGACACAAAATAGCCACACAGATAAGGAATACCTTTTTCAGGACATCGGGGTGGCTTCCCCAGCTCCTGGCCTCAAGTTCTCAAAAAGGGGGGCAAGAGAAAAACGAGAAAACCAGCAAAAGGAGGATCTACACTAAAGAGACATTCTAAACAAATGAGAAACCAAGACAAATCAAAAACCAGAAATAAATCAAAATGACAGGGAATTGGGACAACTGGTCGACCTCGTTCTTTGTGGGCGTACTGGTCGATCTCCAATGTCTGTGTGTGTGTGTGTGTGTGTGTGTGTGTGTGTGTGTGTGTGTGTGTCTCATGCAAATCATATCTCAATAATAACCTTGTTAACAGTCTAAACTCATCAATCAAAAGATACAGACTGGCAGACTGAATTAAAAAACAAGACCCAACAATATGCTTGTCTTCAAGAGACTCACCTCATGGCAAAAACATCCACAGGCTGAAGGTGAAAGGATGGGAAAAAATTTATCATGCGTATGGATTACATAAACAAGCAGGCTGAATTCAGCAAAGTAGCAGGATATAAAATCAACACCAATAAATCAAATGCATTCCTATACATCAGCGATAAATCCACTGAAAGAGAAATTAGGAAAACTACTACATTCACAATAGCCTCAAAAAAAAAAAAAAAAAAAACCTGGGAATCAATCTAACAAAAGAAGTGAAAGACCTCTACAATGAAAACTACAGAACAATAAAGAAAGAAATTGGAAGAAAACTTCAGAAAATGGAAAGATTTCCCATGCTCCTGGATAGGCAGAATTAATACTGTCAAAATAGCCATACTACCACAGCTTTATACAGATTTAAGGCAATTCCTATTAAAATCTCAATGACATTCTCCATAGAAATAGAAAAAGCAATCATGAAATTTATTTGGAAAAATAAAAGAACCAGATTAGCTAAAGCAATTCTTAGCAAGAAAAGTGAAGCAGGAGGCATCACAATACTAGACCTTAAACAATACTACAGAGCTACATATAACAAAAGTGGCATGGTATTGGCACCAAAATAGACTTGTAGACCAATGGTACAGAATAGAGGACACAGAGATAAACCCACATAAATATGGTTCTTTCATACTAGACAAGGATGCTAAAAAACATTCACTGGAGAAAAGATAATCTATTCAACAAATGGTGCTAGCAAAACTGAAAATCAATACGTAGCAAAATGAAATTAAACCTCTATCTCTCTACACAAAAATCAACTCAAAGTGGATCAAAGACTCAAGCACTAGAACAGAGACCTGTGCCTAAAAGAAAGAAAAATAGGCCCAAATATTCACCATGTCAGCCTAGAATCTGACTTCCTAAACAAGACTCCTGAAGCGCAAGAAATAAAATCAAGAATCAATAAATGGAAAGGATTCAAATCAAAAAGCTTCTTCTCAGCAAAAGAAACAATTATTAACATGAGGAGAAAGCCTAGAGATTGGGAAAAAAATCTTTACCACATGTAACTCCGAGAAAGCATTAATCTCTAGGATATATAAAGAACTCAAAAAACTTAACACCAAAAAAACAAATAACCCAATCAATAAATGGGCTAAGGAACTGAACAGACACTTCACAGAAGAAATACAACTGATCAACAAATATATGAAAAAGTGTTCAACATCTCTAGCAATTAGAGAAATGCAAATCAAAACTACTCTACACCTCACTCCTGTCAGAATGGCAATCATCAAGAATACAGGCAAAAATAAATGTTGGGAAGGATGTGGTGAAAAAAGGTACACTCATACACTACTGGTGGGACTGCATAGTGGTGCAACCACTATGGAAAACAGTATGGAGATTCCTCAGAAAACTGGGAATGGGACCACCATTTAATCCAGCTATCCCACTCCTTGGCTTATACCCAAAGGACTTAAAATCAGCATTCTATAGTGACACAGACACATCAATGTTTATAGCAGCTCGATTCACAATAGCTAGACTATGGAATCTACCTAGGTGTCCCTCAAGAGATGAATGGATAAAGAAAATGTGGTATATATACTCAACGGAATATTACTCAGCTTTAAAGCAGAGTGAAATTATGGCATTTGCCAGTAAATTGTTGGAGTTGGAGAATATTGTGCTAAGCGAAATAAGCCAATCCCACAAAACCAAAGGCTGAATGTTTTCTTTAATATGTGGATGCTAATTCACAATAAGGCAGGGGGCACTAGGTAGAGGGAAGTGATAGGAGGGGAAGGGAGGGGATGTGGGGATAGGAAAAATAGTAGAATGAAACAACATTACTACTGCAAGTATATATGTGACTACATGACCAGTGATTCTGCAACATGTACACTCAGAAAAATGAGAAATTATATCCCATCTATGTATATCAAAGTGCATAAATAAACGCATCCTACTGTCATGTAACTAATTAAAACAAATTTAAAATTTTTTTTTAAAAAAAGCTTCCTGGCCACCAAAGCCCCTAAAATGCTACAAAGAGTACCCAGAGGGTGAGCCTGTGGGGCCCGAGGAGGAGCAAGCTCTAGAGCTTTTGGGGGAACAGTGGCTCCACTCACCTGTGTGCAGGCCTTAAGGGGTCCTGGGAGCTTCTCATCCTGCCCTTCCATACTGTCCTCCAGGCACGGCCGGGTACTGAACTGCATTGAGAGGACAAGGCCTGAGTGCAGCATCATACAGCGTGCCCATGCACATCTGCTGGCATTACTGTCCCCAACACCAACCTGGCCCCTGGATTAGCCACCAATCCCTGGATGCATTCCCCGTGTCAAATGTGCTCCTAGAGGTTTCCTCCCAAGAGTCCCTCAGTCCTCCTGCAGGCCAAGCCTCTGCGGCTCCAACCCAGCTCCTCCACTACCACCTACCTGTAAGCCCACCTCATGCCCAAACAGGGTTCCTGCCTACCACCAAAATCTGCATCATAGATCAGTTCCTCCCCTGTTCCACTGGGTTCTGGCAACACCTACCACTTGGAGAACCCCCAAGTACATACCCTTCTGCCCTCCGGACCTGAATCTGCAATCTCAAACCAGGTCCTCTGTCTTGGACCAGCAGCAGGGCTCTGGCTCTCCTGTCCCAGAATCACACCCATTGACTACATGCATGAAGTTCGTGACACAGCACCACCACTCCCAGGAATTGATTCAGTAACAAACACCCAGCCTACCCTTCCAGCAGCCGGGCCTGGCCTTCCAGCAACTCTTTGAAGATGGCCTCCCTTTTCTGCTCAAATGTCAAAGTGTATGTTCAGAGTCCAAACTGCAGCCAGGTCAGGGTCCCACCATTGTCTACCAGAGCATCCATTACCCAGATGCTCACCCAACACCCTGTTGGGCTCTGAATTTGTAGTTCTGACCTGGTTCCTCTGCCAACTTGGGTGTTCTTGGGCATGAAACTACAACTGAGTCTGCTTAGGACTGGGAACCTCTGGCAGATGCCAGCACATGCCAGTCAAGGGCAGCACTTCCCAGGCCCAGAAAGTGCACCTCAGTAACTCAGTTGTCTTTGTATCAATCGGATGTCTTTGCATCTGAGACTAGAGAGCCCCTGGCAAATCCCAAATAATGTACCCCATCCCCCCGTGCTCCGTCTCTCCTTACACACCACTTCACCTCTCCAGATTCTCGCTCAAGGCCTCCACCCCAGCAGCCACTGCACAGAGGCCTCCTTGCTTCCATGGCACACGTACACGTATACAGAGCAGGTTCTCACCCAGACCCAGGCCCTTTGCCAGTGTGGGGGTCTTGTGGAGTCCATGCTCCTGAGCTGAGAATGTGCATCCTTCACTCTACATCTCAAAGTATCTAGGATACCTCAGACACTCACCAGCCTCCCCACAGGTTCTGGGGTCACCTGCTCCACTGCCTGTCTGCAGTCAAAACACTAGAACATCTAAGCAGTAGCTTGAGCACTGCTCCCCAGAATCAGTCCCAGGACTTGGGCATTTGCCACCTGGGGATTCTCAAGCCCAATTAGAGATGTTCTTATGGAAACCAGATCCTTTCATCTCCTCCTGCCCAAACATGACAGACTGACTGTCATGCAGTCAGTCCCTTCCAGACCCATGTCTGCAGACTAGACTCTGTCCCTCTACCAACCTAGGCGTTCTCCATGCCTGAAAGCAGAGTGGCCCAAGCAAAGCCAACAACAACTTCATACTGATGCTAGTAGCATCCTGCTTCCTCCCCACATAGCTGTCCATCTGATGGCAGCTGCTGCAGCTCAGTCCTTCCTGGGTTGATTTTGTACCGACAACCAAGCATCTCCAACAACTTGAATGTCCTAGAATTCTGCTCTATCCTATCAGGTCCAGGATCATCAGTCCAATTCCTGCTTCCCATTAGACAACCCCAGTGTGTGCAGGAACATTCTGTCCAAAGCCTGCCCCTGGTATCCTCAACCTGGAACTCTGCTGCCTATTAGAGCTCCTTGAACAATGTTGCTTCTCCTGGGGAAGAACCCGCAACTCCAGCAAGGTCTCTCTATCAAGCACGGGTGTCCCCAAGCCTGCGAGAACAGTGTCTGCTCAGGGTCCCAGAGCTACCTGCCCAGAATCCCCTGCTCAGGGGTGTAAGGACAGTGGCACAGCCCCTCCCTCCAGGAACCAGAATCTGCGATTCAGTACTTCAACAACCTGGGCACCGGGAAGCCAGCCACTAAACAGGCATAGCATTGGATGGCTGGATTTCTCAAGATCTCCCCTGTATCCCTGCCCGGTCCTCACCCACCTGGGAATCCACCTACCCAAATAAAAACCCCACCTGATTAATCCGCGCATGCGCGCCGACTCCAGTCGCATCAGCCTCAAAGTCTCTACCAACCTCCGCGACCGAGGCTAAACCACCACCCACTAGGAGACCGGAACGCCCACCCCCACTCATCACTTCTTCCAGTTTCCCGCCGAATCCCTGCGCATGCGCGTGTCAGACAAGCACTGCCCCGCCCCCGCCCCACCGACCTGGGGTCCGGGCCCGCTGCTCGGGTCCGGCCAGTCTCCGCCTCAGTGCCCCGCACGGCTCTGTGGCTGGACGCTCTCGGGTTAAGCAGCCCCCTGCCTCGGTTCTGTGTCCCGTCTGAGACGGGTTGAACTAATCTGGTCCCTCCCCTAGTCAGCATCCACAAGGCCGCTCCGAGTTAGCTCCTAAGGGCTGTAGTGCGGAGCCTTAAACAGGCGTCCGCGCGCGGGACAATGGCTGCGCTCTGGCCGAACCCGGAAGTGTACCGCCGCGGAGAGCGGGAACTACAAGTCCCAGAAGCCTCAGCGGCAGGCGGGCGGGCGGGGCCTGGCGGAACCCGAGCGCGGCGCAGGGGTTCAGGGTTTGCACCAACCGCAACGTTTGCGGGGCTCGGAGAGGACCCGACCCGGAGGCCGAGCCAGGGCAGTGGAGTGCGGTTAGTGGCTGACGGGCCGGGCTTAAACGCTCGGCGGAGTCGCCCATCCGATGGCGTCAGCGGGGACCCTCCTGGGCCCCTGCTGGGAGACTTAAGAGGGCCCGTGTTACCGTCGAGGACCCTTCAAGAACGTGATGTTTTTGTACTTCGTAAAATAAAAATCCTTTTACTGTATTTTAAATTGAGGTCCTTCTCTAGCTGTAGACCCTAAGGATTTGTTTCCCCTTTCCTCTCCCTCCCCCCACCCCTACTTTCCTCTATTCCTCGGCTCCAGTCTGTTTTCCAAGCCGCTTTCTTCTCCAATTAGCTTAGGAAGACTCCCACCACAGGGCCCTTGCACAGATTGCTGCTGCCCGACAGGCAGTGTCTCTCGGAGATCACGTGGTTCTGACCCTGGAGTTCAGGTGCTAGTCTTTCTCATTGCCTGACCCCCGTTATAAATTTTCAATCAAATCTTTCAGGTCCCTCACGCTCCTGCTTTCTCCCTCATCTTTATTATTATTATTCTTTTTTCTCTAGGGAACTTTTCACTATCCAACACTACATTTCAGGAATTTATTTGGTCTTTTGTTTTTCTGTCTGGAATGTCAATTTTATAAAGAAAAAGATTTGGATCTGGGCTGGAGTCAGTGGTAGAGTGTTTGCAAAGTAAATAAATAAAATAAAATTCTGGGAAAAAAAAAACATTTGGGTCTATGTCAATGCTCTATTCCCAAAAAACCAAAAACAACAACAAAAGGCACCTGGCATGTAACAGATGATCATTAAACATTTGTTGAGTGAATGAGGGTCCCTGGCTCTGTGTTGCACACTGTAACATCTCACCAACCTCCTCACCCTGTGAGGTCTCTGTGGTGCTCACTTCCAGCCCACGGGGGAGAAAGGTGAAAACTGGATCTCTCCTGTATAAAGATATGCTATTTTGTTTTGTTTTTAAAATGTTTTTCAAAACATTCTTGCATTTTACTTCACCTAAATTCTGACATTTAACAACAAAAAATTATGGCTATTTTAAATGTATTCTCTTATACGCAGAGCTTCCTATTGGTCATTGTGATTGATTATTTAAAAATACATGTGTATATATATACATATATATTTGTTTTGTGTCTGGTTAACCCGTTAGGATTTTTATTTTTTTTACTTTTTAGTTGTAGACGGGCATAATACCTTTATTTTATTTTATTTTTATGTGGTGCTGAGGATCAAACCAGTGCCTCACATGTTCTAGGCACGTGCTGTGCTACCAAGTCACAACCCCGGGCTCCTGGCATGTTTTAATTCTTATGGAATTCCAGTTGATTCTCTTGGCTTTTCAAGTGAAACAAGCAACTGCAGGCAATGAGTCTGTCTTTTCCTGAGCAGTATTTTTACCTGGATATTCTCTTTCTTGTTGGATGGTGTTGGCTACTATTTTCAGATGTGTTCTCCTTTTAACAGGCGTGTTGCTAATGTTGGCCGCTAAATGTGATGTTGGTTCTTGCCTTGAAGTAAGTCACTTACCGTGTTAGCGTCCCATCACTTGAACAAACACCTGAGATTTATACAGAGAAGAGGGTTGTTTGGGGATCACAGCTTTGGAGGGTTCATCCATATCAATTGGCTTCTTTGCTTGGGGCCCGTGGCAAAGCTCCACAACCTGGCAGGAGCAGTAAGAGTAAAACTGCTCACCTCATGGCCCAGGAGCAAAAGAGAAAAGGAGTAAAGGGCTAGATCCCATGATCCCCCTTCGGCTCACTCCCAACAACATACTGAAGACCTCCAGTAGGGCCAGGCACCACGGCTCACGCCTGTGATCCCAGCTGCTCTGGAGGCCAAGGCAGAAGGATCGCATGTTTGAAACAGCCTCAGCCACTTAGCGTGACCCTGTCTCACAATAAAAAATAAAAAGGGCTGGGGGTGTGGCTTGGTGGCAGAGCACCCCTGGGTTGCACTGTCAGTATCAAAAAAACCACCACCTCCCACGGGACACCCCTGAAAGGCTGCACCCCTCCACTGCCACTCCGGGGACCGAGCCTTTAACCTTCCAGGGATACTTAAGACCCAAACAACAGCACTTGTTTTTTAACTTTTTTATCTTGCAGATTTCAAGACAAAACTATAGAATGAGTCTAACAAACCCCACAGCCTGTCATCCAGCTTAAATAATTTGCCACTCAATCTCGCTTCCTCTGGGCCCCGCCTGGGCTGTGGTCTCCATGTCATGAGGCTCCCAAAACACACTAAGCCCGAATTTGGAACAAATCAAAGAATTTTATTTTACCTATATTTTCCTGGCCAGGGACGCTTCTGCCATCCCCAAAGGCCTCTGATAGAAGCGCACCGGGCTGTCTGTGGTTCCAGTCTTTAGGGAAGAAGACCACATCCTAAGGAACCTGGGAATTGCAAGCAACAGGGTCCAGGGGCCGAGAAAAGCAGTGAGCAGAGCAGTCAGACAGCAGTGTCCTGGGTTTGAGCGCGGCTGTGGGGCCACATCCTGGGTTCAAGTCCATTACAGACGTATGAGGCACAGAAAAACAAATTTTAAGTTCTTTTTTTAAAAAACAGCTTATATAAGAGTTTCACATGGGAACCTTGAAGATGGAGTAGTAGCCATGGTGATGGCTATACTCACTATTTATCCATATTTTTAATCTATATCCTATAATTTATTACTTGCATTGATTAATTCAGACCATAGCCTCCTCTCTCCTCATCCCACAGTGATTTTGAAGCAAACCCTGGATCATCATTTCATTTTGGCCCTCAATATTCAGTATCTGTCTAAAGGGAGTTGTGGTTGTTTTTAACAAAACTTCAATACAAAATAGATATATGTCATAACCATTGGGTTCAGAGGATATGAAATTACTATTGCTAGCAAATGCCAGTACCCAAAGACCCAAGAGAATTAACTAAAAGAAACATCAAGAAAAGTTTAGATGTTGGCAAGGATGTGGGGGAAAGGGTATACCCATACATTGCTGGTGGGACTGCAAATTGGTGCAACCATTATGGAAAGCTGTATGGAGATTCCTCAGAAAACTTGGAATAGAACCACCATTTGACCCAGCTAGCCCACTCCTTGGTTTATACCCAAGAACTTAACATCAGCACACTACAGTGATGCAGCCACATCAATGTTTATAGCAGCTCGATTCACAATACCTAAGTTATGGAACCAACATAGGTGCCCTTCAACCGATGAATGGATAGAGAAAATGTGGTATATATACACAGTGGAATATTACTCAGCCATAAAGAA